GCTACTAAGCAGGTTTACCTGGCTCAGTAGCTCATAGATGGCTAATTTTAAAAGCCAAGGATTTTTCTCCTCTTCCACAGGTCCAACAGGACACTGCCATGTGCTTAATGTGAATTTATTTGTGTATTATTTGACTTAATTTGGCTCATTAAGCCGACAGCCTTTACTGACACCTATGTGCCATATAGGAATACTGAAATGGAAACCCATCATCATGGTCACCATCCCCAAAGCTACCATCTTAGTGGACTCCTACTTGGGATCTAGGCAGACCTGCGTGTGATTTCCAAATGAGGTCTGTGGCCTGGGCCAGAAACTTCCTCTCTCTGAGATTCAGTTCCTAATCTGTTGAAAAATAAACAGGCTAGTGATATTTGTTTAATCTGGTTATCATGAAGATTAAGTAACATATAGTAAGGTGCAGCACAGTTCCTGGAAGCAGACACTTAATGAATTCTGTTGATTGAATAATGGCGTCTGTCTTGAACAAGTCCTGGGCTTGGGAGTCCAGCCTAATTTTAGTTTATGCATGGATCATAAGACTTTAAAAAACTTTCTACCTACCAATTCTGGTCTCATACCCAGAAACAAATATGTCACCTAATAACCTTCAGTCATTTTTTTCTCTGGCCAAAGCATAAATGCATTATTAAAGAATTATTTATATATTTGTAACAGCTGTATAATGATTACTACAGCTAGGTGCTAGAGAAAAAATGTAAAGTTTTTTTATACTGTTACAATCTGTGAGTTTTAAAATTGATTGATGATTAGAGAACTTATGAAAACTGCCAGTTATTTTTTTACATGGACACTTGACAAAGGAAATGTATGTATAGCTCTGTCATTTTTCAATTTTGTATGTTATTTTAACAAATTCTACCCAAATAATATTATTTCTTTTAATGTTTATTGTGACATCAGTACTGCCCACAGGACACCTATAATGCTTCATTAGAAAACACGCATCAGCGATGGAACCATGTATTTTGCTATTTGATTCCTCCCAAACCTGAAATAACATTGTCAAGGCACTCATCTGCAGAATGTATCACATCCCTTTATTGTGTTTCAGAGAACTGAGGGAAATGAAAGCTACAAATGAGGCTAGCAATCTTGTGAGTAAAGCGAGCAGGGAAACAGGGCACAGAGGGAAGATTTCCAGAACTTGAAGGCACATCTATTTGATGTCAGATTGCATGAGTTGGAATCATGAGGCTGACAGAAAGTGAAACAATGAATGGAAAGTCTCCTATGAGGTCAATCCTTTCCCCTCCAACTCCACCTAGGTCACCCCCCCATCCCCATTTCTCATCAGAAATTGGCAGTTGATGATTAGCAACCTGTTACTATATTTTGTCAAATTTTTAGAGAAAGAGATCTACAGATGTGGAAATAGTCTGATGTGATACCTTTGAACCCAAATGGGCAAGCATTTTCTTTTCTTGCGTGTGTACCCTAAATTTCTGTTTTCTACGTCTGAAGCTCTTTGATTCTTAGAATTGTGTTTCTTATTTCTATTCAAATGAATAAACAAAAGCAAACAACCCTGTGTTTCCACCTTCTGAATTCTTGCTGAGAAGCTTATTGGGGAGGTAGGCTCATAGACTCTGCCTGGGTCCTGATATGGGCTCCTTCACTTAGTAGCTGCACAATTTGTCCCTTAATCTCTCTGTATTCATGTTTGTTATCTTTAAAATAGGGGAAATAATAGTTCCTCCCCCATGGGATTGTTGTCAGATTTAATGTATCAACATGAGAAAAATGCTTACAATATGCTTCATGGCATACAAGCATCTTAGAAAAATGCTTCATGGCATGTAATCAATGCTAATTAAGTTAAACATAAAAATAAAACCACCAGCTTTCTCCTACTCAGGATAAAATGATTGCAATTGCACTTACCTTCCTTTATAAGATTTCTTGTTAAGCTTTGATTCAGTAGATATGACATAGAAGAAAGTAAGTAAATATGCCCGAACAGAACTATTCATAGACTCTTTAAATAGAAGTTGCGTCTATTTAATTCAAACCCTCTGGAAAGGATTGGAATGATCTTTTTGCTAGCACAGACTTTATGGAGCATCACCTAGGTTTGGGGCTCAAAGGCAAGATGAGGCTTAGCCCTGTTTCCAGTTAGCATATTCTATAATTACACATTATTAATTAATACTGCTGCAAAGTTAACTTTCTATGGATAATTCATTGCTATTTCAATACTATGTGCTTCTCTGCCTCCCTTTCTCTAATTTGTCTAGGGTTTTTAAAGGCTTACTTAGAAGCATGCTGTTGTCATTCATTTTCCCCTAAACTTATCTGGTGACTCAACAGATATTTGGTAAAAATGATCCCATTTTAAATATAAAGAAACAAAATAGATGAGAAAAAATATGTATAAAATGTGAATTAAAATCTTAAATCCTTATTTGCTCATGACATTTCTTTCTTAACACCAAGGAGATACCTTCTACAATCTCCATTTTCATAAAACTTTTCTCTAGAATCTTAGAACACTCACCTCTCTGGGTTTCTGAGAAAATCAGTCTTCACTCTTCTGCAGGGCATAACAAAGGCATTAGTTGACTGGATAGCACAGGAAGGCAGAGCCCATGAAGCCATGCTGAGGTGGGTTCAGTCACATGACCTGGAGTGGAGAAAGGGCATCACGGGCCCATAAGGGTGTAGGTAGGAAGGTGGGCATTGGGCACTAGAGAACTGTGTTCCCTAATTCTCTGAGACAGCTTAGTTCTTGTCTTGTCAAACTGAAATTTGGCCAGTGTGAATTTGGCAGAATGCCAGAGAACAAGCATCTCTGAGGTCATGAGGCCTGCAGTGGTGCTAGTAGGGAGGGATGGACTCTGGCTTAATTTTATTTTTTTGCCATAGTTTTAATTCTTCCCCTTGCTCATTGCCCTTCAGCACATGGCCTATGTCTTTTCCTCTAATGCAGTGATAGCCAGGGGTGGTGCTCTCCCCCAGAGCCAGGGGACATTTGACAAAACCTGGAGACATTTTGGTTTGCACAAACGCAGGTGGTGGGGTGTCACCAGCATTTAGTGGGTAGAGGCCAGGGATGCTGCTAAACATGCCACGATGCACAGGATAATGCGAAGTAATCATGAATTATCCAGCCTCAACTCTTTCTGGTGTCACAGTTGAGAAACCTTGCTTAATGTGACAAATTTATTCCTGCCTCAGGGTCTTTGTACTGGGGCTTCCCTCTGCCTGAAGAATTCTTCCTCCATACACTCTCCTGGCCAGTGCTTTGTGGCATGCAGGTCTCCATCTGAACGCCATCTCCTTACAGGGACTTTGCTGATGGCTCCGCTTTACCTAAGCCTCTTCTTTCTATTCTCAGTTACTCTGCATCAAGCCCTCCCTTTTATTTTTTTCATGGCACTTAGCCCTGTGAATTATGAGTTGCTCAATAAAGATGTTCACTTTATGAATCATGTATTTTGCTTTTCACAGAGCACAGAAATAACAAATGCATTTGAGTTTTTTATATGTCTTCTCTTTGTTGCCATTTCTAGGAAGAAAAGCTTTCAAACACCAACAAAACCCTTTTTGCTTGTTGAAAAATGCAAAATCATTCTGTGGCAGTAATTAATTTTTTTTTTTTTTTGCTTTCACCTAATTAAATTTTTGTAAAGAATAAGGAAAGGGCTTTATCATCTGCAGGAGAAGCAAGTTTCTTACACCTGACTTCAATCACTCTGAGTAACTACTTCATTAGAATGGCGGCAAGCCCGGTGACACATCATTAATTTTCATGGATATAATCTGGGAAGCCAAATGTTTGTAGCAAGGGAGTCTGGCAAAAATAGCATAAATGTATTAGCACTTATTAAAAATAAGTTGCAAGTCTGTTTGCATGCTGCCTCTGTTATGTTATAAATTTAATGTAATCACCAAAAAATAGACAAATCACAATATGCTGAGGAAGGAAATATGAATAGTATCTTCATCCTTTAACATGTTGGGTCTTATATTTGTTAATTTGAATATTTTAGGGCTAGTGGAAAGAAATAAAATGAAATCAAATTTTGGAATATTTCTATCTTTCTTGCTGCAATTTGACTCTTTTGCTATTTTGAATAGGATGAAAACTAACATAGTAGGTACCTAAGAGACAATATATTCTAAGTGAAGAATGAAATACACTATCTTTATGCCCATGTCCACCTGATAGTTTTAAAAAACAACTATCTTAGTACTTCCAAGACAGTCTTAACATGAGAAAAAAAAATAGGATTATTGGTAAATTCTGCATTTCTCCAAACTACGTAGTTTCCATGAAGGGATCTTGGTCTCTCTGAATTTTTCTGTACTTTCTAAGAAATTAAAATCTGGGGATATCAACAATTGCCATGCTAATCTATGAATCTTGCAAGATTATTGTAGCAAATTAGAAAATATTCTTGTAAACTGTAAAGCACTTTATAGACATTAACTAAAACAAATAAAAATCTCCCCTTCTTCAAAGATGAAGCCTTTCTTCTGTTCTTTTTTTCTTTCTGAGACCAGTGCCTGCCAATGAAGTTTGATTCATTTGTAACCCATATGTAGTCTGGGTATGAAAGTCAGATTTGAATTAAGATGTGTGCTGATTTAAAATCAATTCAGTAAAAAGATGACAGCTTTAAGCATTGAAATTACATCCAAATGTTGGCTCTACCACTTGCTAACCATGTTGGGGAATTTACTTTGCCCCTTAGAACATCCGTTTTCTTCATCTGCAAAATGGAAACAATGGCTAAATTAGATTTTATGTAATGTACCTGGTATGTAGTAGATTCTCAGTAAACTGTGCTTCTTTTTCTTATGACAATTGTCATATTGGATCTTGAGATGTACCTTGTAGAGCAGAATCTCCATTATCCTTGTTGTTATGCTTGGTATGTGTGTGTGTGTTTAAATTAAGTTGTCATAATTGTAATTATTACAGTTTATGGTAACTTAAAACATGCTTTTCGGTTATTCCTAAAGACTATTTTTTATTTTGCTCAAGTCTTTTAAATTTTATTTAGAAACAGGAATTCTGTGTTGCCTTAATATGCCTAATATATTCCTCAATTTCATCTATCTTTGAGGGTAAGTACATTTTCTGCATCCCATCAAAATAAGTGATCTCAAAAGAATTGGTGGCCTAAGAGTCCTTTAAACTAGGACTGTCCTTAAAAAATCTGGGAGATATGGTACCGGTAGATAAATTTACACAGCAAAGATTATGTCTATTTTTATTTGTCATTTTAATCACAATAATGCCAGTTACAGTGCTCTCTGTATATAAATTTGCGGAGTAAATGAGAGAAGAAATGACTCCCAGTATTTCAGATGCTGGCATGCAGTTTCCCCTTTATGTCTCAAATAATCATGTCATGGTAAAGAAGGCTGGAAACTGTAGAGCAGGAAATGAGATAGTATATGTTAGAAGGAATAATCACAGATAGAATACTAGGGGGCAGAGGATGTAGGTAGAAATATAGGTCCCGTCACTTTATAGCTGAATGAACTTGGGCAACTTACTTGACCGACTTGGGCCCCAGCTTCTTCATAAAATAGCAGTAATAATAATTCCTTATTTTAGAAGTGTTGCAAGTATTATGTAGGGGGTCCATGGTGATTTAATACGGTGATGTAAGCAAAACTTCAGCATAGCACAGAGTAAGTAGGCAGCAAATCATAATATAACAATTATTTTCTTGATAAAAGAAAGTTTGCCTTAGTGAGAGCTGTGTTGGGTAGAACTCTATTTACATGTTAAGATTCTCCACTTCCATGCAAGCCACCAACATGAATTTCTTTTGAGACCTAGGGGAAGACATGAATGAGTATCTCCTGGGAGAATATCTGCAAGCTGCCTGTGAGACATGTCAATCTGACTTTGAAAAGCTGTGAGGTCACCCTACATTAGTTACATTCCTTAGCTTTCTGAACTAAGAAACCTGCCTCCGTGATAGTTAAGCTCTACCAGTGTGCTAATTTTACGTTTTTTATTAGTTATGGTTCATGAAAATAATACTAACATGTAAGATTTATTTGAACATGTTTCATGCAGATAATGTGGGACTGAGAAATGCACTAATGCAGTAAGACGGAGTTTTACTGAAAGTGGGGTAACTTCATCCAATAGTATTCAAACACAGTCAATTACCTTTGTGCCATTAGTACTCTACACATTATTTGCCTGAGTCTCAACTAAAAAATCCTGTCCAGCCTAATGATAATCTTCTTCTTCACTTTAATTTTTCTCTGAACTTCCTAGAGATATGTCACTATACCCAGACACTCCAAAAGAGCTTCCTCGTTCATTGTATTTATTTGTTTTCCATTTGCTGGGATCTTCCATCTTTTCCTCTACCACTTTATGTGAGCATTAATTATTCTTTTTTCCAAAGAATACCTGTAAGAGCAATGTGTGACCTGATCTTATGACATCACATCAACAATGGGAAAACTTCTATTATACTCTCCCCAGATTATTCAATTAAAATTTGTTTAAAAATTGTTTTAAAAATTGAGTACTTTTTACATCAGACACCAGGGTAAGGATTCAGAAGTGAATGAGATAACTCACTTTTTAAAAGAGGATCGTAAACAGACGGCTCTCATGGTGCCATATTCTTACCCCTGTGTCTGTTTCCTAGAGCTGCGGTAACAAAGCACTGGAAGGCTTAATTGTACCGTTTTACTCTCTGACAGTTCTTGAGGCCAGACTTTTGAGGTCAAGGTGTAGTCGAGCTCTGCCCTCTGAAGGAGCTAAGGGAGGATCTATTCCAGGCCTCTCTCCTACCTTGTGGTATTTCCTTGACTTGCAGCAGCTTAACTGCAGCCTTTTCATGGGGTTCTCCCTCTATGCATTTCTGGTGTCCAAATTTTTCTGTTTTTTTTTTCTTTGAGTTATATCCATAGGTTTTTGGGGAACAGGTAGTATTTGGTTATGTAAGTAAATTCTTTAGTGATGATTTGTGAGATTTTGGTGGACCCATCACCTGAGCAGTATATACTGAACCTAATTTGTGGTCTTTTATCCCTCACCCCCTTTCCACCCTTTCCCCCTGAGTCCCTAAAGTCCATTGTGTCATTCTTATAGCTTAGCTCCCACTTATGAGTGAGAACATCCAGTGTTTGGCTTTCCATTCTTGAAGTACTTCACTTAAAATAATAGTCTCCAATCCCATCCAGGTTGCTACAAATGTCATTAATTCATTCCTTTTAACAGCTAAGTGGTATTCCATTATGTGTGTGTGTGTGTGTGTGTGTGTGTGTGTGTGTGTGTGTGTGTGTGTCTCCAGGTCTTCTAAATCACTTCTCCCCTGCATGAAAGGAAATAACACAGAATTTAATCTATGACTTACTATCAGAATGCCAAACTTCAGGTAGATGTAATTCCAAGAAAGGAATCCTGTCCTATAACATGTATAACAACTGCAAGCAAATGTTTCTGAGACCACATGTAGGTCTGATAGGAAGACAGAGTTACATAATGGATTAGCAATGCCTGCAAGTCACAGAGGTGTTACGGGCTGAATTGTGCCCACCTCCCCCAATCCATCATATATATAAATATGTATGTTGTATATATGTATGTGTTGTGTATATATGTGTGAGATATATATGTGAGATATATGTGTGTATGTGTGTGTGTGTGTCTGTGTGTGTGTATCACCATTTCTTTATCCACTTGTTGGTTGATGGGCATTTGGGTTGTTTCCACATTTTTGCATTTGCAAATTGTGCTGCTATAAACATGCATATGCAAGTGTCTTTTTCGTATAATTACCTCTTTTCCTCTGAGTGGGTATTCAATGGTGGTAATGCTGGATCAAATGATAGTTCTACTTTTATCTCCACACTGTTTTCCTTTGTGTTTGTACTAGTTTACATTTCCATCAGCAGTGTAGAAATGTTCTCTATTCACCACATCCATGCCAACATCTATGATTTTTTTATTATGGCCATTCTTGATAAGGACACCAGTCATATTGAATTAGGATGCCTTGATGACCTCATTTTAATTTCATTACATCTGTAGAGACCTTATCTCCAAATAAGGTCACATTCTGAGGTACTGAGGGTTAGGACTCCAACATATCTTTTCTTGGGTGGGGAAAGGTGGGTATCATTCAGCCCGTAACACCTCTGTGACTTGTGGGCATTGCTAATCCATTATGTAACTCTGTCTTCCTATCAGATCTATATATGGTCTCAGAAACGTTTGTTTGCAGTTGGTACACATGATGTAAGACAGAGGATTCCTTTCTTGGAATTACATTTGGCATGCGGAAGGTAAGTCATAGCTTAAGTTCTGTGTTATTTCCTTCCATGCAGGGGATAAGTGATTTAGAAGACCTGCATTCACCACTGTTCTCTGTATGAACAAATGGCTTGACTTTGTTGGGCATCAGATTCTGATTTTTAGGAAGTGAGTATTAAAACCTACTAAGAAAATTTTTGTGCAGATTGATCAAAATACCCCAACTAAAGGTGTAGGTACTTCACAGACAATCATGTAACACAAATCTCACCTTTCTCCTATACTCAGTAGTTACTTTTTTTTTCCTCAGGGGAGGTGAACTACAGAAATGAAGAGTTCCTCCTGCTATTTTACAGAAAGGGGAAATAAAAAACCAGAGATTTATAAATGACTTTTCCAGAAAAAAAGATCCAAGCTGATATACTGCAATAGTTTTTTGGTTGATAACCTTGAGAGAAATAATCCATTTATTTTTGTTTTGCCAGTTAATAGAGCAAAATTCTCAGTACTGAAAATAGGATGATAATAAAAGAGATTATTTTAGGATTTGTTTTCAAAAGCTCAGCTGTTTGACAAGACGCTTATATGGTAAGGCCCCAGACCTTTCATTGGGTTGAATGTTGCTTCACATTATACAGGTTTCTTTGTTAACTCTAGCACTAATTTTATCTCTAGCAGGCTCTATCTACCTCCTTGTGCTCATTAACACTATTTACCTTTTAATCCTGATGCCTTAATGATTTTAAGTAAAATTTATGTATCTTAAAAGTTCATCTCAAGCCGGGCATGGTGGCTCACGTCTGTCATCCAGTACTTTGGGAGACTGTGGTGGGTGGATCACTTGAGGTCAGGAATTCAAGGCCAGCCTGCTCAAAATGGTGAAACCATGTCTCTACTGAAAAGACAAAAAATAGCCAGACATCGTGGTGGGTGGGTGCCTGTAATCCCAGATACTCGGGAGGCTGAGAGAAAAGAATGGCTCGAACCCAAGAGGCAGAGGTTGCAGTGAGCTGAGATCATGCCACTGCACTGTAGCCTGGGCAACAGAGTGAAACTCCATTTCAAAAAAAAAAAAAGTTCATCTCCAATAACAAATTTCTTATTAAAACCATTTGGTTCATCTCTTATTAGATACAATCTGACTTGACAGCTACTTTGGGGGACCTTTTTGGGATGTGTTGACTCATTTGTAAACACAGGAATGTTTGCATCCTTTTGAGCTATATATTTTGATATAGCTCCATGTTTTCTTGCTGCTAACTGGAGGCTAAATATGTTTGTGCCCACAATTACAAAATTAGGAAAGTAGTGTTCATCTTTAAGCCCAAAGCCATTGAGGAAGCTGTGTAGTATAATCAGCAAAGATCAGATACATCCTTGTCACATTGACCTCCAGAAGCTAAGAAATATGTTATTTTGCCCCTCACCATCTTCTCATCCAAAATAAGACTCTTAGAAATTCAACTCATTTTGAATCTTCAAGTGAATTATACCTAAGACTGAGAAAAAAAAGAATTCTACCTCAGGTCTTTTATTTGTTTGAATGTCTTTACAGTGATGCTTTTGGAAAGATCAATGGCAATTTGAGGGAAGAATGCACAGCTGTGTGGCCAACTGTGTTGTTGATCTTAAATCTGAAGGCCTCTTCAGGTTCCATCTGGGGCTGACATTTAACTTGACCTTCTCAGGACAAGAGGTTAATTTCTGAAGTATTAGAATTATGGAGATTAATTTGTGAAGCTGATTGTAATTAAGACGCTTCTGGCTTTTGCATCTGGGCTGGATACAGCAGACATTAATGACGGTAATCCATTTTCTCCCAGGGATGACTGAGGTCCACAGTTTTAAGCTTAACCAATTTATTTTTTGTTTTCCTCTTTTTACACTCTTAGAGAAAGAATTGGTGACCTGTATAAACATAATGTTCCCTCTCACCAGAGACGGAGAAGTCAACCAAAGATATTACTGCAGAATGTAATGAATACATTCCTCCCTCTTATGTTTGCTGTAATAATTATTACAAGAGCTTATTCTTGAGGCAGGCTCTGTGCTAAGCCTGCCTATGTTTTATTTAATCTTTTCAAGAATCATATAAGATAGGGGATCTTACTACCTCAATTTTGTGAATAACTAGGGAAGTTAAATATCTAGGGGAGGCCCCAGTTATAGAGATTTTTCATTTAATTGAACAGAGCTGGGACCTGGGCATTTATTTTTCTAAAGCTCTGTAGGTGATTCTAACGGGTAGCTAGGGTTGAAATCCACTGTTCTAAATAAGCAATTACCTATAAAATAGAAATGGTCCAATATAAGAAGAAAGATAAAAATTATGTACTGTGGCTAATGGTTGCTTTTCTTTTCAGGACCAGTGAGTCAGGTCACAGTCAACATTCATTACCCATTCCTCTCTCAAAAATAAATTAACAACAAAAAAAGAAATAAACTTCAGAGTTGGTTAGAGGGTATTGATGTTGAATTGACTAGTTCATTTTCTAGAACCCTATTAATTTGGTCTAGTGCCTTTGACATGTACTTACAAAGTTCCAGCATTCTCATGACTTGTGATTTATTGCTTAGCTATACCAATACCAAAGGTGGACATGAGGTATCCCTACTAGTGGACCATTACTTGGACAGATTACAGAGCCTTTTCAGTTCTTAGAACTTGCCCAACTTCATTATGTTCTGTAAGTTTTTCAAGGGTCCAGTGGTCTCACAAGCAATCTGGTTTATTTCCTTTTCTTCCCCTCCCTCCTATTCTTCCTCTGCCTTCCAGAGATATTTTGTCTAAGAAGTTAAGCTGAAAGGGACAGATTTATAAAATAGAGTAAAATAAACTACAGCTCCATTGCACCTCTTTGTTTTGCAGTACGCTCCAACTCAACCCTTACGAAGTGCCCTTGTTTGTCTTTTTTAATCACTGTTGGTTTAAAGTCTGTTTTGTAAAAAGAATACATACCTTTTTATTCATAATCATATAACAGTTAAAGGTTTTAGAGGTGAAATTCTTAGATTTCCTTTCTTGAGAAACGTCTATAACAGGTACTGCTAATGTCTGTTTATCTCTTTTGTTTGTAGGCTTCATGGTGATAGTAATAGTTTTGTTTATTAAAAATATCCCTTTAATTTAAAATATTGAATTCTTATGAAAGTGACATTGACTATTTTAACTTATATCTCTGGCAATTGAATGAATATTTGCACTTTTGAATAATCAGAGGTACCTACCACCAACTTGTTGCTGGCACCACCACTCCACTGAAGTGCTTTTCATGGCACCCCCCAGTTGGAGTATTGTTGTCAGCACACTGGGAGCACCTCCGCTCCTCCAGCACAGCAGGTTCTTAACTTTGAGGGATCAGAGAAAAAAACTGCAGGGCTGGGCCCAGCCGCAAAGGATTGGAGGATGCAGCCCAGCAGTGCTGAACTGATCCTTGGTCCCCTGAAATAATCCAGAAATGAAACCAACAGGTACTGCTAATGTCTGTTTATCTCTTTTGTTTGTAGGCTTCATGGTGATAGTAATAGTTTTGTTTATTAAAAATATCCCTTTAATTTAAAATATTGAATTCTTATGAAAGTGACATTGACTATTTTAACTTATATCTCTGGCAATTGAATGAATATTTGCACTTTTGAATAATCAGAGGTACCTACCACCAACTTGTTGCTGGCACCACCACTCCACTGAAGTGCTTTTCATGGCACCCCCCAGTTGGAGTATTGTTGTCAGCACACTGGGAGCACCTCCGCTCCTCCAGCACAGCAGGTTCTTAACTTTGAGGGATCAGAGAAAAAAACTGCAGGGCTGGGCCCAGCCACAAAGGATTGGAGGATGCAGCCCAGCAGTGCTGAACTGATCCTTGGTCCCCTGAAATAATCCAGAAATGAAGCCAACTGAATAAATCCAACTTACAACAATCAAAGCCTCAAGAGCCTCAGAGAATATAAAAGCCAACAGCTCCATCCAAAGGCAAGGACCTTCAAATATTAAAGAAACATCAGCTGAGACAGAGGTAAAAGATCCAGGGCAAGAACTCTGGCAAAAATAAAAGCCAGAATGTTTTGTTACCTTCAGATGACCATACGAGCTCCTGAACAATGGTTCTTAACCAGACTGAAGTGGCTGAAATAGAATTCAGAATCTAAATGGAAATGAAGATCATTGAGATTCAGAAGAAAGTTCAAACCCTGTACAAGGAAATCAATAAAATTATACAAGAGTTGAAAGATAAAGTAGCTATTTTAAAAAAGAACCAAAGTAACCTGATAAAGCTGAAAACACACTATGAAATGTCACAATACAATTGGAAGTATTAACAGAAGAGTAGACCAAACCGAGGAAAGAAGCTCAGAGCTTGAAGACCTGTTCTGCAAGTTGACTCAGAAAAAAAATAAAAAGGAATAAAGATGAACAAAAACTCTGTGAGAATTATGGGATTATGTAAAGATTCCAAATTTATGACTCATTAGCATCCCTGAGAGAAAGAGAGAGCAAAGTTGGATATTGTCCTTGAAAATTTCTTCAATCTCACTAGAGAAGCTGACATTCAAACTCAGAGAATGCAGAGAACCACTATGAGATACTATACAAGATGACTATCCCCAAGACACAAAGTCATCAGATTATCCAAGGTTGAAATGAAAGAAAAAAATAATGTTAAAGGTAGCTAGAGAGAAGGACAAGGTCACCTACAAAGGGAGCCCCATCGGGCTAATAGTGGACTTTTCTGCGGAAACCCTACAAACCAGAAGAGACTGGGGACCTATTTTCAGTACTCTTAAAGAAAAGAAACTCTAGTCAAGAATTTCATATCCAGGCAAACTCAGTTTCATAAGCAAAGGAGAAATAAGATCTTTTTTTCAGACAAGCAAATGCTAAGGGAATTATTTACTACCAGACTGGCCTTACATAAAGTTCTTAAGGTAGAGCTAAATATGGAAAGGAAAGACCATTACTGGCCACCACAAAACCACATGTAAGTACATGGACCATTGGCACTATAAAGCAACTGCACAATCAAGTCTGCATAATGGCCAACTAATGATGTGATGACAGAATATAATCTGAATATATCAATATTAACCTTGAATATAAACAGGCTAAATGCCTCAAAGGGCACAGAGTGGCAAGATGGATAAAGAAGCAAGACTCAACTATATGCCGTATTTTAGAGACCCATCTCACATGCACTGACACCCATAGGCTCAAAGTAAAGGGAAGGAGACAATTCTACCAAGTTAATGGAAAACATAAAAAAGGTAGTTACTATTCTAATTTCAGACAAAACAGACTTTAAACCAACAGTGATCAAAAAAGACAAAAAAGGGCCCTTTGTAATAGCAAAGGGTTCAATTCAAAAAGAAGAGCTAACTAACCTTAATGTACATTCACCCACCACAAGATCACTCAAATTGATAAAACAAATTCTAAGAGATTTATGAAGAGACTTAGATAACCACATATTAATAGTGGGAGACTTCGACACCCCACTGATGTATTGGACAGATCATTGAGGCAGAAAACTAAAAACTATTTTCAGGGCCTTGACACTTGACAAAGTGGACCTAAGGACAACTACAGAACTTTCCACCTCAAAACACGAAATATACATTCTTCTCTTCAACACATGGCACATACTCTAAAAAGACCACAAAAATGGCCATAAAACACTTCTCAGCAAATTTTAAAAAACCTGAAATTACACCAACCTCACTTTCAGACCACAGTGAAATAAAAATAGAAATCAATACTAAGAATTGCTCAAAGCCATAGAGTTACATGGAAATTAAACAACCTGCTACTGAATGACTTTTAGGTGAAAAATGAAATAAAAGCAGAAATTAAGAAATTCTTTTAATCTAATGAGGACAAAGATACAACATACCAGAATCTCTGGGACGTAGCTAAAGCAGTATTAAGAGATAATTTTATAGCAATAATTGCTCACATCAAAAAGCTAGAAAGATCTTAAATTAACACCAAATGTCACATCTAGGAAAACTAGAAAAACAAGAGCAAGGCAACCCTAAAGGTAGCAGAAAACAAGAAAATAGTTCAAATCAGAGCTGAATTGAATGAAATTGACACCATGTACAAAAATCATCTTAGTACAAATTAAGTACTTTGCTGTAAAACCAAAAACTATAAAAACTTGGGAGATAACCTAGTAAATACCTTTCTGGATATAGGCCCTGGCAAGCATTTCATGATGAAGATGCCAAAAGCAACCGCAACAAAACAAAAATTGACAACTGGGACCTAATTAAACTAAAGAGCTTCTGCATAGCAAAGGAAACTATCAACAGAGTAAACAGACAACCTTTAGGATGGAAGATATTTGCAAACTATGCATCTGACTAAGGTCTAATATCTGGCATCTATAAGGAGCTCAAATGAACTAACAAGCAAAAAACAACCCCATTAAAAAGTGGGCAGATGACATTAACAGTTTTCAAAAAAAGACATACACATGGACAACAAGCACATGAAAAAAATGTTCAGCATCACGAATCCTTAGAGAAATCAAATGAAAGTCACAATGAGATACCACCTCTCACCAGTTGTGATGGCTCTTATTAAAAAAGTTAAGAAAATAACAGATGCTGGTAGGTTACAGAGAAAAGGGAATACATACAGGGTGGTGGAAGTATAAATTAGTTCAGCCATTGTAGAAAGCAGTGTGACAATTTCTCAAAAACTTAGAACTACTGTTCAATGCAGCTATGCCATTACTGGGTACATATTAATACCCAAGGATTATAAATTATTCTACCATAAAGACACATGCATGCCTATGTTCACTGCAGCACTAATGACAATAGCAAAAGACATGGAATCAATGTAAATGCCCTTTAGCAGTAGACTAGATAAAGAAAATATGGTACTTATATACCATGGAATGCTACACAACCATAAAAAAGAATGAAATTGTGTCCTTTGCAGCAACATGGATGGAACTGGAGGCCATTGTCCTAAGTGAACTAATTCAGGGACAGAAAACTAAATCACACATGTTCTTACTTGCAAGTAAGAGCTAAACATTGATTACGCATGGCATAAAGATGAAACAATAGACAACTGGGGCTTATTTGAGAAGGACGGTTGTGGGGAATGTAAGAACTGAAGAGCTACCTACCAGGTACTATAGTCACTACCTGCGTGATGAGGTTCTTTGCATGCTAAACCCCAGCAACATGGAATTTACCCCTATAACAAACCTGCACATGTATCCCCTGAACCCACAATAAAAGTTGGAAGAAAAAAAATTAAAGGACTTATAAAAACCGAAATAATACATTCAAGTTAAAACAAACGTATTCAAGTTATACTAAACATATTAAGGTTAGTTAACGTGTAAATTCCCTGAGTTTTTTATTTCCTATTTTATGAGTTCTCTCATGGCCTCTGTACTCTACATTTTTTACAAAAGGCTCTACGTAGCATTGTGATTCAGAAAAGCACATCAACAATATCCTTTAGTACATGACTCTAAATGTTACAGAAAAACTTGGACAATGGACCGTGGTTATCATTGTACCAGGTAAGCATAGACCTGCCAATTAATAGGCATTCCTAGTTGATGTGATTCCATCTAAACCTACTTAAAAACTAAATTCTAAAACGTCAGAAATGTAAGGAAGCTTAGAGTTATTTAGATATTTGTCTCTAGCTGCCATTTTACAGTTAAGGAAACTGAGGCCCAGATGGTTTCTTGACTTTGACATAATCTTTTAGATGACAGAGAGGCTTGAAAAAGCTTGAGCCGCAGGCTAGGAACAGTCATTACATTTTATTATTTTGTGACTTAGAGGCATTGCCAGAGAGCTGCCCGAGCAAGTAAACTGATTTTACACCTGTGTGCACACACAAAACAGCAATTAGGAAACAGTGTGTAGCAGATTTTGACATGGATGAAATTATAGAACCAGTTACTTTTTATAAGTCAACTCATGACAGTCATTTCAAACAAAGACTCTAGAATCTATTCCTTAAGGATATGGTTGACAGAATGTCAGTGCATTTAAACCTCATTTCTGGAGATCATATTGGAGAGGCTGAGCTGAAGAGTAGATTGAAGATGTTAATTTAAATTAAGGATTTGTTATTTTAATGGTTGCTTCTTTTTAAAAAGTGTGCAGTTAAATAGCTTTTGCTTTCCAGTGAGTTGTAATCGAAGGAATGCCATTCTTGGTGCTCAGAGATATAAGCGCTAATCTTGTTTTTCTACTTTCTCCTGTTGTTTACTACTTGTAGGGCCTTGAGAAAATCACAGAGCCCTCTGGACCTCAGTTGACCTATGCCTTAGATGGGCATATTAATCTGTTTTCTCAAAGTAGAGAACAAGACTAAGTGATACCTTGAAAACCCACAAAATTTAGAAATCAATGAGAGAATGAATGTCAGGGGACTCATTCAAAAACGGGATACTCTTTGAAATGGAAGAAGAGTTAAGAGCCAGGAAAACCTAGGTTGAAATCTATCAGTAACCATCCTTATGGCCTTTGACCCCTCTGTGTTTGGGAAGAAAAACAGACTTAAAGAACCATTAAAGCTGAGTGATTGCAAGAAAATACCTGGTACCATGACCAGCATGCTTGCTAAGTCATCATTAAAATTAGTGGAGGCAGATAGTCTCATCTAAAGGCTGCATTCAGGCTTCCACTTCTGTCCATAAAGGAGCCTCTGTTACAGGACTTGCCCTCCTGTCAGAAACAAGCAGAAAGCTGAATAACTTACACAAATCAATGGTTTCTGAATATTGGATAGAAGGAAATACAGCACTGTGATTCATGAGAGAATGCAAACAAATCAGGGGAACCTTATGTTTAACTCAATTTTCTTCCTAGAGGTACCTGTGGCATGGGGAAGAAGAATCCAAACAAACCCTAGTGATCTCACTGAGGCAGAGATCAAAGTCTAGGGATGCTGAGACAATTAGAATTTGAGGTGAAGAGCACTGGATGGAAGGTAGTTGCACAGAGAGAGAAAAAGAGGAAGAGGGCACACCCTAGAGATCACAGCTATTATAAAAGTATGATCAGTAGGACTAAGGAAAATATGACATGTTGAGGTGAGAGAGAAAAAATATAAAAACAAACCAAATGATAGGAATTAAAAAAAATACACTACTTGAACTAAAACTGTTGCTGGATTAACAGTGGGTTAAACACTGCAGAAGACAAAAATGTGTGAACTTGAAAACACAGAAATAGAA